AACTAAACGAAGACAAATTATTTTACAAGTAATTTCACCTGAACAAAAAAACGGCCTCTTCGTAGAATGACCCAAAAAACTTTTTGGGAAATAAGTAGTCCGTCAATTTTCCTGACCACGTCAATCAGTTAGTACTATACTTTCAGCAACTTGAATACAACATGAGCATTANAGGGCTTGCAATATCGGATAGTTTTCAACTCCGGAACTGATTTCCGATATTGGGCACTCAACTCCGGAATTCCGGTTCTAGTTCCGGAATTGGATAAAAAAAGAAAGCGCCTCCCGACAAACACGTACACGTATGTGGCCTTCACTTCAGAACCTTTCCCCATCGGCCGTCTGTTCTACGTACTATGTGCCCTGCCCATTGCTACTTTAGCTTGCTAATCCGATCGATGTCAGGCGACTTTAATTCGTTTACGAATCTCCTCATTCCTGGTTCGGTCTCGAAAAGAAACACCGAGCATAGCACTCTCCATACCATGGTGTGCAACTTTGAGCTTATTATAAGGCCTATAGTAAGAGGCCACGTTTCCGAACCGTATGTCATCACTACTGGTAACACACACTGATTGTAGACTTTCGTCTTTATGCACTGAGGTGTTTTGGTCGAAAAGATGTTATGTAGTTTCCCGAACGCTGCCCAGCCGAGTTGAATTCGACGTATTAATAAATTTCCCTGCCTCACAGCTCCCTGCAGAGGAATCGCCCTCGTGCTCAGCCAGGCTCAAAGACCTTCTCATAGTCTAAGAACGCCAGGCATACCTATAGGCAAGTTAGACTCTTCGATCTTCTGTATAACCTGCCGTAGCGTATACAGGGTGACAGGAAAAGCGATACATTCCTTGATAGGGGTTAAAGTAGAGCTTATTTGCAGTCATTTAAGTCATATGACACCATGTCCGAAACTTGTTCATTTCCAAGTTATTCAAGATTTAAGTATTTTTTTAAAAATCTCCCGTTTTTATGTTAAAATGTACCCTTGTAATGAAGAATACGGAATAATGTTAACTTTTTTGTTGTATTCGTATAGCTAAACAATAGGATTAACATTTTAAATTAAAATTTGCAAGAAAGAATCGTCATTACTCAAGTTAAAGCTAAAAAACCATGTATCATTTTGCAAAAAAAAATATGTTTTAGGTAAATAAACGAAGAATTTCCAAGAAAAAATGTATGAAATGTTGCGTACAAATTACAGAATTTAGTTCCTTGATTCATTAGCTATTCAAAAAGGTACAGGTGTTTAACAAATACTACATCATTATTTTTTTATTTGAATTTAAACGTCTAGTAGATACTTTCATAAAAAAATTAATAAATAAAAAAGTCACACTAACAACTATTCTTGGGTGTAATAATTGTATCACCTAATTTTATCTAGGTAAATTATTTTAAGTCCTGCTCAAACTGTGAGCCCCGTCTTCTAATACAAGCTCGTAGTCTGTTTCTCACTTCTGGTTTTGTGACTCTTGTTGTGAAACTTTGCCGAATATCTTGAGCTGCCCTCTGAATGCGCTCACGAAGCTTTCACACACACCCAGCACACTTTCAGCTCAGTGTACGCCAATGGATGGATCAACAATATCCACTTCGTTGGATTGGGCGTGGTGGACCCATTTCTAGGCCAGCCAGAAGTCCTGATCTGACCCCTTGCGATTTTTATTTATGGGGTCACATGAAGGATCTCTTGTATGTAACCCCCGTAAACAACGAGCAAGAGCTTCAGAGGGCAGCTAAAGATATTCAGCAGTTTGACAACAAGAGTCACAAAACCAGAAGTGAGAAACAGACTACGAGCTTGTATTAGAAGACCGGGCTCACAGTTTGAGCAGGACTTAAAATAATGTACCTAGATAAAATTAGGTGATACAATAGATAAAATACTAAGTTTTTCATTTATTGAGACCCAAGAATAGTTGTTAGTGTGACTTTTTTATTTATTAATTTTTTTATGAGAGTATCTACTAGACGTTTGAATTCAAATAAAAAAATAATGATGTAGTATTTGTTAAACACCTGTACCTTTTTGAATAGCTAATGAATCAAGGAACTAAATTCTGTAATTTGTACGCAACATTCCATACATTTTTTCTTGGAAATTCTTCATTTATTTACCTAAAACATAATATTTTTGCAAAATGATACATGGTTTTTTAGCTTTAACTTGAGTAATGACGATTCTTTCTTGCAAATTTTAATTTAAAATGTTAATCCTATTGTTTAGCTATACGAATACAACAAAAAAGTTAACATTATTCCGTATTCTTCATTACAAGGGTACATTTTAACATAAAAACGGGAGATTTTTAAAAAAATACTTAAATCTTGAATAACTTGGAAATGAACAAGTTTCGGACATGGTGTCATATGACTTAAATGACTGCAAATAAGCTCTACTTTAATCCCCTATCAAGGAATGTATCGCTTTTCCTGTCACCCTGTAGATGCGGTATATGGTAGTGTAAACTTTTCGATAACCGGCTTCCTGGAGAAGCTATGTCATCGAACCTACGCGCGAGACTATTCGTGATGGCTCTCAAAAACAGCTTGTAGACATGACTCAGAGTCAGAACCCAGATGGGTCTGTAACTCCATGACTTTTACCCCTTTCTTAAAGAAAAACACCACCAAGCCTTTGTTCCGTGCCTCTGGCATTATTCCCTGGAGTAAGACGGAGATACAGTCTCTGAAGGACTTTCAGTATCGGCTTATCACTCGCCGCGTTTAGAAGCTCCGAGGTTATTCCGTCATCACCCGGTGCCTTGTTGTTCTTTAGCTGTTTGAGAACCATCCTAATCTCGTAAGGGCTGATGTCCGGGATATCTTCGGTATAGTGTCGAGTTAGCTTAGCTCTTGAAACTGTCCTGTGGCTGAGCTATTAACAGGTTTGGTGACCGAGGTATAATAGGTATAGCTGTCCAAAAAAACTTTTCGATCTCACCCAGAACCCTCAGGTTTTGTTGAATTTACACTATCATTCGCTGTCTTCAGCTGGCTTCGCCCATTAGAGTTGTCTCTAGCGAACATTTTGGATCTTTTGTTCCGCTCTATTGTCTCTTTAATTATTAGTAATAAAGTTGCGAATACATATCTCAAGGACTTCCTTATCTAAGGACCTATTTAGAGACTTTAACGTTTTGAAAACTTAAAATAATTTATGAAAAATTTCAATATCGGAATACGATATTGGCTTCAGTTCCGGAGTTGAAATATCGGAAAAAATCNAGGTACACGAGCGTGAGTTTGAACGACCGCGTGGCCTGCTACTTCTCGTATCTACCTCGCTTACTTGTGCCTGTTGCAAGTTCTTTATGAGGAGCGACATGTTTTCTTCCAGCCGGCGTAAACGCTCATCAGTGTCGTGTGTGGAGATCGCTGCTACCGGGGGCGATGGCCTCGTGCACCGTAGCCTAACGGTTTCTGCTACGAGGTCTGCGATGTCGGCAAGTGCATCGAGTGGCGTATCTGTCTTGGCCACGACAGCTGCTTGCATGTCGGTAGGTAGGCCCTTCGTCCACATGACGCGCAACACGTCTTCAGGCATAGCGCTGCCAGCTAATGATTTGAGATGCCGCAGGAACTGTGACGGCGTTCGGTCACCGATTTCCTCTCCTTCCAGAAGACGCCGGGTCTTCACGGTCTGGGATTCGCCGAACCTTTTAATTATCCTCTTCGTCATAATCAGGCGGCATAATTACATCTCCATTCAAGAGCAAGGGATGATTTGCATTTCCTTGAGCTCCTGGGGGTACCCTGCGACGTCTACGATCTTCATCTTCAACAGGGAAAGTCCACTCAGCATACGGTAAAGGACAATTCTCATAGAATTCAGTCCTGATGGGTAGCGGAGTATGAGGGTCACTCATCTGCACGACGGTTCTTCTCAGATTACTGAGTAATACTCCCAAAGTTGGGTGGTCAATAGGGCGGACGTAGAATGTCTTGCCATTGTGCTCAAAATTTCCGATCGCATGAATGGTGTTAGTTATTGGCGCAATATTAACTGGTGCGCTTAAAATCAAATCCTTCCAGGAATCTGGAAGACGAGGTCGATAAAATAAATGATTATTACGAGAGGCAGTGGGAAGCACCTGCCCTTTTAAAGCATGCAGTAGCTTTAATTCTATCTGTCCAAGGGTAACTCGATAAAAGGCCCATGGTGTGCAGTCAGGTATGTTACGAAATTGAAAATGAGAGTTGGAGAAACATAACTGTGTAGTCAGCCCCGGGCTACGAGTGCTGATAGGAAGCACAACTGCTGTAGTCTGAAGAGTAAAATTCTGCTTTTGCTGTGCTTCAAAAGCTTCCTTAAAGCCGAAGAATAATGTCTTATTAATTAAATCTTTTATTTCCTGTTCTTTCTGCTTGATCGGTGCACCTTCTCGGCGAAATTGATCACGACGTTGCGCATCGCGGTTCTTTTGCGCATTAGATCGTCCACGTTTATTATTGTTTCTATTATTATTTTGACTCGATGTGGGTCCTTCTTCCCAAACATCAAAATCTTGTCGAGGGATGGGTTGATAACCACCTCTCCCACGAGGGTATCCACGTCCACGGTAATTATTATTATGCATCATAAGGATGGTGTTGCTTGATACACAGACACCTGCAATAATTGCATAGATCAACAATGGACCACGTGTTACATCGGCAAAACACTAAAAAGATTTGAGTTAAACATTCCGACAATAAAATCCTAAAATTGCAGGTGCGTGAGAAACTAAAATTACCATGCTCTAAAATTAACACGCTAGAATTACCAAAGCATTTACATCTTAAGTTTGTACGAGAAGTATTACAATTAAGTATATTTTAATCAATTGGTATGAGGCGTAAGTGGGACGTAGTCGCCACAATATAATAAAAAACATCATTTATTTTTAAAAGTGCACATACAAAAAAGATCAATTAGTTTTTAGAGGATCAAATAATATTGTCCCATATTATTTGATCCTCTAAAAACTAATTGATCTTTTTTGTATGTGCACTTTTTTACCTTTATTTGAATGTGCTAGATCAACATGTAATTACTGATTTTTCTGTATAGAAATGCTTCTCCTGAGAGGGAGCAGTATGAAATGCTGCCGGAAGTAGTGGATCCACTGCAACCTACGCCGCAAGTGGATCCACTACAGCCATCAACATCATGGCAACCTACGCGCCGCCCTTAATAGTATTGCCGGCTGACGTCGAGTTTGGTAAATATCATATTATTAATGCGTGCCCATTGCCACTTCAGTGCGCTAAACTTGTAATATTACTAACATTTATCATTTTTATACAGTTAACAACGAGGAGAGTGACGATGAGAGACAGATCGGAGACAGCGACGGTTCCGTTGGTACGGCAGAGGCGGACAAGGTACCCAACTCGCCTAGTTCTCTAGACTCATTGGTNGTTTGTACGAGAAGTATTACAATTAAGTATATTTTAATCAATTGGTATGAGGCGTAAGTGGGACGTAGTCGCCACAACTTTTCAGTTTCAACGTTTTGAAGGAAGTCGGGACCTTTCCACCACAGCTCAAAGTTTATCAGTTTGCTGGGGTACAGTCCTCGAGAAGCACAATCTGCAGGATTTTGTTCTGACTTAATATACTGCCAGTTTGTTGATGGAATAACTTGCTTGATTTTGTTGACCCGGTTGGCCACGTATCTCTCCCATCTGGATACGTCTCCTTGCAGCCAGGCGAGAACAACTTGAGAGTCACACCATGCTCGAACGTTAATCGTGTGTCCTTTGAAGGCTTCTTTTATTTTTTGTACTAGTTGTGAAAGTAGTAGTGCACCACATAATTCCATTCTGGGTAGTGTTGTTTTTTGTGTCAAAGGGGCAACCCTAGTCTTTGCAGTGAGTAATTTTATAGTTGGAGGGCCTTCAGGGTTAGCGACATAACTGTAGATGACGCATGAATAAGCCTTCTCGATGTTTGATTGCTGGCCCCCTAGCCATCTGTCAAGTTTGACATCTTGGACTAGCGGAAGTTCACTTCTAAGTTTGACCCAATCGTCTTGAATGTCGGAGGGTAGAGCTTCGTCCCACCCTAACTTGGCCGTCCATACTTTCTGGAACAGTAGTTTTGCCGTAATTGTGACAGGTGAGAGCCATCCCAGGGGATCATAAAGTTTTGATATCTCTGATAGTAACGTCCTCTTTGTAAGAACAGCTTTCACGTTGTCTCCAAGTTCCCAGTTAAAAGAGAATTTGTCAGTAGTGGGGTTCCAGCCGAGGCCAAGTGTTTTCAGTGATTCATCGTGTTTGAAGTCGAAGTTGTTACGCGATGAAATTTGATCTTCAGTTAAGTTATTTAGTAGAATGGGGTCGTTCGCTGACCATTTTCTCAGGTTCATGCCGCCCAGTTTTAGTAGTTCGATTAGCGATTGTTGAAGTTTGATTGCGTCATCGAGTACGTTGTGACCACTGACAAGGTCGTCCACGTAAAACTCATCTTGAAGTATGCGTGCTGCTTCTGGGTGTTTGTGACCGTCGTCCATTGCAAGTTGTTTGAGAGTTCTCATAGCAAGCCATGGAGCACATTTCATCCCATAAGTCACGGTGCACAGTTCATACTCTCGGAGCTTTTCAGTTGGTGAGTCACGCCAAATATTTTTTTGTAGTTGTTGTTGATCTTGAGTTATTTCTATGCAGCGGTACATTTTCTCTATGTCCGCGGTGTATGCATATTTGTATGACCTCCATTTTAAGATAAGCGCCTGAATATCTTTTTGTAGATTTGGGCCCTTTTCTTGTAGTTGGTTAAGACTGAAGCCACTTGTAGTTTTTTGAGAAGCGTTGAACACGACTCTCAGTTTGGTAGTAGTTGATTGTTCACGTAAAACGTCATGATGCGGTAAGTAATATTGCGGTAGGTATGTAGGTGTCGATGACGACGGCTTCATGTGACCAAGTTCAATGTACTCGTTGATAAAGTCTCTGTACATTTGAGCAAGTTTATGGTTTCTTTCAAATCGTCTCTCTAGTTGTAAGTATTGTGAGAGGGCGATAGATTTTGAGTTTCCCATTTTTTCTTCATAGTTAGATAGAAGTGGCATTTCAAATCAAATCAAATAAATTTATTTGCTTAAAACATGGTAATATACATATATGTGGATAAATAATAATAATAACTGTGCTCATGTTTTACCTTACTATAAATGGCATGCAAATATTTACAATTTAATAATAATGTTAATGATGAAGATTAATTATTAATGTAAAAAAAAATACAATTTCCAATTAAAATAATATCGATGGGTGCCTGGAATAAAGCCGCAATCGACAAAACACAATTTTACAGGAGAAGAGATTTAGTGAAATTTTTGAATAATAACTAAACTACGAGGCGTATCCAAATGGTTTGTATATCAAACGATGCGTTATTTTTTCTGGAGTAACATATAATGTGCATAAGGTTATAGTGCTTAGAATATACATTAAAAAAGGTAGAAATACATATTGCCGCTTCATACATTGAAAGTCGGTTCCGTAAGAGTCCATTGTGGTTTTATTCCGGTAAAAAGTGCAAAAGTAATCATACAGCAATAGTGCATTGCAGCGTTGTGCGCTGATCTGAAGGATGTATNCTCTAAAATTAACACGCTAGAATTACCAAAGCATTTACATCTTAAGTTTGTACGAGAAGTATTACAATTAAGTATATTTTAATCAATTGGTATGAGGCGTAAGTGGGACGTAGTCGCCACAATATAATAAAAAACATCATTTATTTTTAAAAGTGCACATACAAAAAAGATCAATTAGTTTTTAGAGGATCAAATAATATGGGACAATATTATTTGATCCTCTAAAAACTAATTGATCTTTTTTGTATGTGCACTTTTTTACCTTTATTTGAATGTGCTAGATCAACATGTAATTACTGATTTTTCTGTATAGAAATGCTTCTCCTGAGAGGGAGCAGTATGAAATGCTGCCGGAAGTAGTGGATCCACTGCAACCTACGCCGCAAGTGGATCCACTACAGCCATCAACATCATGGCAACCTACGCGCCGCCCTTAATAGTATTGCCGGCTGACGTCGAGTTTGGTAAATATCATATTATTAATGCGTGCCCATTGCCACTTCAGTGCGCTAAACTTGTAATATTACTAACATTTATCATTTTTATACAGTTAACAACGAGGAGAGTGACGATGAGAGACAGATCGGAGACAGCGACGGTTCCGTTGGTACGGCAGAGGCGGACAAGGTACCCAACTCGCCTAGTTCTCTAGACTCATTGGTTTCATTGGCCTGTCAACCACTGAAAACTGGGCGAATGTATGCAGAGAGTATTTTAACAAGGAGATCACAGACTCTGTAGCGTAGGGTCTTCAATAAAAAGAGTGGACTGTATTTTATAGGTGTTTACTGGTAGTTCTTCGTGTTATTACAAGAAATCAAGAAATGCAAGGGTGCGCGACGCGCGTTCGCGGAGGGCGGAAGTCCAAGTGGCGGCTCCCGATAGCCGCCCCTCCCGCTGCCCGCGCAGACCGCTGTAGTGCTGTGCCCGGCTTCCGGCGCACGTAGTGATGTGGGCAGCAGGAGGGCGAGTCGAGACGATGCGTAGACAGGCTCCCCGGGTTGAAGTAATTCAAGGATGATCATCCAGGGGCAGCACGCAGATGTTGTTGAATCCTCGTCGAATTGTGCCCTTCTTGGTTCTAATTTCGGCCACTCTGCTGACCCCGTCGACTTCTGGGTAGGTCTTGACTATCCTCCCCAAGAGCCAGATGAGAGGAGGTGCAGTTTTGTCCCTTATGAGGACGAGACTCTCGGGTTTCAGTGTGTCCCCGTGGCGCCACTTCGTCTTCAGTTGGAGGAGTGACACGTAGTCGTTGGAGAACCGTTTCCAGAAGTGTTGCTGTATGGATTGCACGCGGCGATACCTCTTCAGCGTAGACAGGATCTGTAGACATGGGGGATATAGGTCTAGAATTTAAAATAGCCTCAATTTGAGTGAGACATGTGTTCATCTCCTCATAAGTAAAATGAGTTAATTTCAAAAGATTTTTCAAGTGAAGCTTCGTAGATCGGACAGCCGCTTCGGCTAGTCCGTTAAAATGTGGAGAGTAAGGCGGGGTAAAGTAAAAATTTGTGCCTTCATCAGCCAAATCAGACTCTACTTTAGATGATGACAGAAAAGACGTTAACTCGTTACAAGCTCCGACAAAGTTAGTTCCATTATCAGAAGTAATAGATTGTGGTTTGCCTCTACGGGATACAAAGCGGCTTAACGCGGCTAGGTACGCCTCTTTGCTCAGCTCCGTAACCAGCTCCAGATGTACTGCCTTGACTGCTGAACAGACAAAAATACACAGGTAAGCCTTAATCAATTTACAACCGCGCCCTTTCTTATCAGCTATGTGCAGGAAGCTGGCCCATGATTGGTTGAATACTTCTACATTTATTTCTGAAACATGTAACACATTTATTTACAGTTTGCCTAGCGAGAATTCTACCTCCGAGGGGCCAGTACGTCTGGCGTATATTAGCAAGTAGGCACAGCGGTCCTGCATGAAGAAGCGTTAAGTGTTGTGTCCTAAATATGAGTTTAGTTATGTAATGTTTACTACACAATAGTATTGGGTGTTTATGATCATAGGTATAAGGAGAATTATCTAATCGACCTCCTACTCTTATAATGTTATTGGAATGTAAAAAAGGTGACAGAGATAGAAGGCGATTTTTAGCTGGCAAAGATTTGCCTGACACAAGGAGGTTATGTTCATCGGTGAACATTTCTGATTGACAATGTCTTAATATCAAAAACTGAGAAGACTGAATTTCATTTGTAGTCAAACTACCGGTAAGTTTATTTTGCTTATTTTTGCAATTGAAAATAAATCGTTTAATGTAGGCTACAATGTGTAATAAGCGTTTCAAATTAGAATGTTTATGTACGATTTCCGAAAGTAAACTTGTGTCTGAATTTTGAGTGTCTTGTGTTAAGTGACAGACTAACTCTGGCAGATTCTGCTTCTTGTTGGGTTTAGAAGGCCATGCACTATCAGGGTTTTGTAAATATTGTGGCCCAGACCACCACAGCCCGGCGGAGCTGATAAGATCAGCCTTCACCCGCGAGAAACAAGATCGGCGGGATTCTCGAGAGACGGTACGTAGCTCCACAGACATCCAGCTGTAGTCTCGTTTATTTCGTTTACCCGGTTACGAACGAAAGGTTTAAGTCGCTGTACAGGCATCTGCAACCAACCTAGTACAATAGTGGAATCACACCAAAATCTTACCGTGTCCGCCTCTGCCGTACCAACGGAACCGTCGCTGTCTCCGATCTGTCTCTCATCGTCACTATCCTCGTTGTTAACTGTATAAAAATGATAAATGTTAGTAATATTACAAGTTTGGCGCACTGAAGTGGCAGTGGGCACGCATTAATAATATTATATTTACCAAACTCGACGTCAGCCGGCACTACTATTAAGGGCGGCGTAGGTTGCCATGATGTTGATGGCTGTAGTGGATCCACTTGCGGCGTAGGTTGCAGTGGATCCACTACTTCCGGCAGCATTTCATACTGCTCCCTCTCAGAAGATGCATTTCTATACAGAAAAATCAGTAATTACATGTTGATCTAGCACATTCAAATAAAGGTAAAATATCAAAAAGGTAGGTACTTACAAAGTACGTCGCTTGCGCGGGTTAGGTATTATCTGGCCCACCGAAAATCTGGTCCGCGGACCAGTTAATAACTTTTTAAAATACTAGTCTTCATCTCGTCCGAAGGTCCGGGCCAGATAATACCTGTAAAATCACTAGGGTATAACTCGCCCAATCTATAGTGAGATTTAACAATCTGTTCTTAGTTAAAGGATTCGTGATAAATTGTTAGTTAAATAGCCAAATTCAAATTTCAAGCCCTTAAAATTTTAAACTAGGTAATGACTTCGTGCATCTAAAAAGTGCAAAAAAAAGGTATGTTCACGGTCTATTTTTTTATACCATTGAAAAATTTAAAACAAGCATCCTTTTTATGTTTCAAGTGTTTCATAAAGATTTCAATGGGAGTTTTTGATAGACTTTTTGATGTCAATTATTGCCTATTCTTTTAGCTGTCGAACGAATTTACCTTACTTTTATGCTTATAGGTCCTGTACATCGGAAGATATAAATATTGCTAAATTAATTAATAGACCCAGACACAGAAACCAAAAAACTGCAATTTTTTAGACCTTCCTTCCGCGACGCGAACTTTAAAGATTTTCTTCTGACACAATCACAGTGCCCCAACTATATTGGTGTTATTTGAAAGCCCAATAAAATATCCTTAAAGAAAATAACATTTAATCTATACTTATAATAAATCTGTAGAGAAGTCAATTCTGTACATGAAATATATTTTCAAAATAACTATCAGGGGGTGATTAGTAATCGATACTGATGCCAAAAATGCAATCAGTAAAATTTTTGTCTTTCTGTCTGTTCCTTATAGAAACAAAAACTACGGGACGGATTTTAACGAAACTTAGTACAATTATTCTTCATACTCCTGGGCAGGTTATAGTATACTTAGAAATTCCCACGGGAACGGGAATTAGCGGGAAAATCCTTTTGTGTGAAAAATCTAAACCGCTTAAGTTAGACGCTTGAAATTTGGCATGCAGGTATGTTAGTAAACTTAAAGCTCAGTTACAACAGAATATTGCAAAATTCCCACGGGAACGGGAGTTAGCGGGAAAAAACATTTGTATGAAAAAATCTAAACCGCGTAAGATAGATGAAGGNGTCACTATCCTCGTTGTTAACTGTATAAAAATGATAAATGTTAGTAATATTACAAGTTTGGCGCACTGAAGTGGCAGTGGGCACGCATTAATAATATTATATTTACCAAACTCGACGTCAGCCGGCACTACTATTAAGGGCGGCGTAGGTTGCCATGATGTTGATGGCTGTAGTGGATCCACTTGCGGCGTAGGTTGCAGTGGATCCACTACTTCCGGCAGCATTTCATACTGCTCCCTCTCAGAAGATGCATTTCTATACAGAAAAATCAGTAATTACATGTTGATCTAGCACATTCAAATAAAGGTAAAATATCAAAAAGGTAGGTACTTACAAAGTACGTCGCTTGCGCGGAGGCGCATCGGGAAGGAGCACCCGCTGCAGCTCCTTCTGCCTTTTTCGGTGCAATAATTCTTTTTTGTCGGCCGCCGACAAGTTGGCAAAATGTCTTTTCGAGACTTGTCGGGCGGCTCTGACCGTAAGAAGTACTTCCCTGCAAAAACAAAATAATTATACAGCTTACCTTCGCACCTGTTACTAAAACACATACGCAACAAACACAAAAAGGGCCATAGTAAGTGATTACAGATATAGATACTTACGGATCCTCAGCACCTTCTCTGCTTCTTCTGCCCCTATTGCCACCGCGACCACGGTCACGGCCACGGCCTTAGCCTTGGCCTTGGCCTGAGGTCGATGGAAAATTGTTTTATTCCTTAAAAATTTTGATAAATGTCTTTAGTGCAAAAAAGTCCAGACCACATATACAGCCGCACACCAATAGCACATTTAAGCGAAAATACGAATTTTTCATTTTAGTGAGTGACCAGTGTCTACCAAGTTTGAGCAAGGCAGATGTGAAAAATAATATTTGAAATTTATTAGGATCATAAACAGCCCATTACAGTCCACTGCTGGTCACTTGATTCTTCAATGACAGTAACCACCTCAGTGATCGAGGATCAGTGCCTATACGTACCTGAGCTCCTTCTAGATATTTGTGAAACTTGTCTAACGCCCACACTACCGCTAGAGCCTCCCGCTCGGTAGTGGTGTACTTACGCTCAGCATTACTCAGCAGACAGCTGGCGTATTCGATGGGCCGTTCTGATTGCATATCAGGGCTCTGCATAAATACGGCGCCAAGGGCGTATGCACTGGAATCAATCCTCAAAATAAAAGGCTTATTGAAATCAGGCTGACAGAGGATAGGCGCGGATGATAAGCAAGTTTTCAGTTGCTCAAAGGCTTGCTTCTGCTGGTCCTTCCATATCCAACCTTGATTCTTCCGCGTTGACTTTGTGAGGGGTTCACTGAACTTTGCAAATCCTGGGATGAACTTATGAAACCACGAGCAATTTCCAAGAAAGGCCTTTAACTCTTTCACATTTGTGGGTGGTTTCCGTTGCAAAATTGCCTTAATCCTGGATGGGTCAGCTACTATACCTTTAGCGGAGATAACATGTCTCAGATCCTTCTTCCTGACCTCCTTCTTTACCGGAGAAACATGGTAAGGTGGTGGCGAAGCCGATGATGACGCTGTCGGTCCCGAGGTGACGTTAGTCATCGTACGCCCCCCGCACGTCTCCTCCCGCGCGTTGTTGGCTTCCCAACTGTAGTGTATGTAAAAAGTGAGGTTATGTTGATTGACAGACGTCATTCTTTTCCCCGCCTTTTTGTTACTTGATCACTTGATGGCTACCAAGCCAACACAATAAACTTATAAGCAAATAAGTGTGGTTTCAATCATAATAGTGGCGATGGCTAGGAAAAATGGACCTCTTTTGTTTTGAGGCGAATGGCATCCTCATGGACCAAATTAAACGAGCAAATTAGCAAAAAGAAGAGTTTGAAACCAGATATACACTTCACTGAAAAGGAAGAGGAGGAACAACTCAACGGGATCTATGTGATGAAGGGTGATGATCGGGTACCACCCTATGAAGTACAAGTACAAATAGACAAAGTTACAACAAGAATGCAAGTGGATACTGGTGCCAGTTGCTCACTCATCAATGAGAGGACTTGGCAGGCAGTGTGCTCTCGTCAACCCATGGCATTGCAGCCCACTTCACTCAGGCTACGCACATGGACTGAAGCACCTGTCATATTATTGGGCCGTATCTCACTACCAGTTACATACAAATATCGAACACGACAACTTACTGTAATTGTTGCTAAAGGTGATGGACCAAACCTTTTAGGAACAAACTGGTTAGAGCCTTTGGAAATTTCTCTGAAAATTAACTTCATTTCCAATAATCAAAGCTCTTATCTGGAAAAGATACTGACTAAATACAATGAAGTATTTAAAGAAGGGCTTGGTACTTACCGTGGGAAACCTGTCACAGTCCATTTGAAGCCAGAAGCGAGACCAAAATTTCTCAAAGCAAGACCAGTGCCATTTGCAATCAAAGACCGAGTGGAGAAAGAAATTGATAGACTTGTAGAAGAAGGAGTGTTGCGGTCAGAATCATACTCTGATTGGGCAACACCAGTGGTACCAATTGTAAAGAAAAATGGTGAAATCCGACTCTGCGGCGATTATCGTAGTACAGTGAACTTGGCTACTGAGCCAGACACATATCCAATGCCGACAGCTAGTGAGGTATTTGCGACAGTAGCTGGTGCTAAATATTTCACGACCCTTGACCTGGACAGAGCGTACACGCAAGTGATCGTAGATAATGACACAGCTAAACTACTTACCTTGAATACTTGCAAGGGTTTATTCTCGGTGCATCGATTGGCATTTGGTGTGAAAGCTTGTCCAGGTATATTCCAACGCTTGATGACATCATTGTTGGGAGGAATCGCAGGCGTGGCTGTACTAATTGACGACATAATAATTGGTGGTACAACAATTGAAGAGATGTTCAATCGGTTAGATGCAGTGCTCGAACGCATAAAGAATGCAGGACTTCGTTTGAATAAAAGCAAATGCAAATTTGCACAAACACGTGTTGAATTCCTGGGATTCATCATAGATGCAGAAGGTATACACCCGGCAAGAAGCAAAGTGGAATGCATTTGGAACATAGCATTTGGAACATAGCATTTGGTATTTACTTAGGGGGAAGGTTTTTTTTTTTTTTAGTGGCAACTAAACCTCTCTTGGAGGTTTATTTCTGCCAATGTCGAGTGAAAAATAATTGACATAGTTATCAATAGAACGTGGGTGTTTCAGTTCTATTGATTTTTCATGGATTCCGTGGAGTTAAGTATGCCCGTAAGCAGGTTTCGAGACGCCACCGGGTCCAAAGCGGGTTGTTCATACGACAACCCACTCGACACTCGATGCGCGCTCAAATTCGCAGTATTTCAATGTTTTTTATAATTTATCACTTAACTGCACTTTAGAACACAAAATAACACCAAATTTGTACACTAAAGTCCATTAAATAATAAATTGAAACCATTAAAACAGATCGACCATGCTTCCCGTTCAACTACCCTCCACGGAATCCGGGGGAAGGTTATGTAGTGTATATAAAAAGTGAGGTTATGTTGATTGACAGATGTCATTCTTTTCCCCGCCTTTTTGTTACTTGATCACTTGATGGCTACCAAGCCTACACAATAAACTTGTTACCAAATAAGTGTGGTTTCAATCATAATACCAACACAGATTTATAATTTTGAAATAGACTTAGCTACTAGGCTAGTATTTACTAAATTTTTATATTTCAGGAGCTGTTTCAAATTTTAAATTCCATAAACGATGGAAAAGCCCTTTTAGCAAGACATACAACATCAGGGCTTCGTAATAACGCCGACAGGAGGAGGGTGTGCAGGGTTGCCAACCATACGAGGTTCCTCGTACAAATACGAGATTTGTGGTCTTCCATACGAGTTACGAGGACGCTATCAACCTCGTACAATTATGTACGAGATTTTGATAACATTATGGCCATGCGATTTTTTTAATGGATTATGTAGCTAGTTCCAAATGAGCTTTTGCTACTTCACCGGACTCTAGGCTATACGATCATTTTGAATCACCTTTATAAATTAGTAAAAACTAGTGCCATCTATCAAAACTTGTAGGAACTTACACCGTAAATTTCACTGCTGGAGATTTCCCGGTTTACGGTATAGCTACCATAGAGTAATATATAGCAAATAGAGAGCCCTCTCCGTTAAATTTTTGAACCTAATAATTGATAATAGTTATTCAATATGACATCCTGTAGCAAGTTTATAATTTAATGATGATTTATTTGGATTTGGAAAAATTCTACATTGCACATGGAAATGCAAATAAAACAAAACTTTTGAATTTAATAATTTTCCTTTATTTATGAACACACATAATATAACACCAAAAGCGTCTTTTCGCAGTTTTCAACAACAGAAATAAGAAAAGCATTTGCACATTGAGAAAACTCAGATTGTAGTGTGAACTTAACAGAAAGAGTCTTTTCGCGATTCGTGAAGGAACAAACAAAACTCAGATGAATCAGAACAGCAGCAGGTACGAAGGAATGAACTTGAATTTAACTGGACTCTTCAATACTTCAAAAGGGCCACAGAACACTTAGACGAGGGCTAAGAAAACAAAAATGCGTTTAACATAACAAAAACAACACCGGCCATTTTGAAGGAAAAACAAAGATGCCATAATGTTAAAAATTAAAATAGTAATTTCTACTACTCTATTATGTAAATTATAACAAAAAATGTCACCTTTAAGTTTTAATTTTAAAACAAATTAATTTCATTTTAAAAAAGTCTTTACATTGTAAAAAAACAATATTTTCAAATATATTTTAATTAAGAAAAAAGAGGAAAAATGAAGGAAACAGTAACAGCGACATCTAGAACGTTTTAGAGTAGTTATAAAGTATTTGATTCTATCGACGGAATGACAGATGTCGCTATGTTGTATGCAAATTTCACTTAGAGTAGGCGCACACCGTTGATTTTTAGTTGGCCGATAGTTATGCCCAATTTTAATTTGTATGAAGAATCGGTCAAATCGAATCGGCGTAGTGTGCGCACTCCCATACATGCCCACACTGATCAACTGCCCGACTAAACTATCGGCCGACGAAAAATCAACGGTGTGCGCCTACTCTTAGATGTATGGAAGTGTCGGAGTGTCCTCACCCTGTCCCCAATAAAACATTTCGTACATACTTCGCATTAGTCTCTTGTACTACGTCGTGTAGCTAATTGTTTTTTTTTTTGTAAAATATTGTTAATACCAATTTTTTTTCCATTGTTTAGAGGTATTATTATAAGAGTAATAGTCTCATTATTTGTGATAAGAAGAAAACAGTGACCGTTCGCCTACTTTAACTCCGCCTACAAAATTACCCAAAAAAAGTGGTTGGACAAGAAAAAAGGAAGGTAACAAATTATCGCAACATCGTGTACAAAATTTTAGACAGCAGTGGTTAAAAGATCCGACTTTTAAAGAACTTATGAGACATAGAGATAACTGAGACTTATTACTCCTATAACTTTTGCCAGACACCAATTATTTAACAAAAGCCAAATGTGCATATTGCCCGGGAACATCAATGGTATTATTATTCTATTGTGGCAGCCCTTGTCTTTAGAGTTCACTGCTTAGTCCCGTTGTGTCTATAAATTTCCAGATTCTTTGGAGCGTGATATCTGCTATCTCATACATCAATGGTAGCTGAACTATCTAATTTAAAAACGCATGCCTCTACCAAGAAACACTTGGGCAACCAACCTGGATCCAGTGGAAAAAAAAACAAACATTAACATCGTTTGGTTTCCAGAACGGTCCAACTTCACAAAATAAAGAAAAAGCTCGT